ACCTCTAGGGCGGACAACATGTTTTCTAAAACTGATGGTTTATCTTCTACTAATTGATACTCTTTCAACGCTACCTTTCATAAGAAAATATAAGATTTTCTTGAGGAACACTTTTCAAAGAATCAAAGAACATTTATCTCTAAAACTAAATGCTTATGAACTGACCATCTTTATGCTGATATTCTTTCAAAACTGCTTGTATTCTCAGGGAATTAGTAGACATGTACTTCCAGGAATTCGGTGAAGTCGGAGCAATAAGAGTCATGTTTTCTATATTATACATACTTTTGATGTATTTAAAACAAGTTTCAAAATGATGTAAACACTTTTCATATTTGTATTCAATGTTTGGTTGTGTTTACTATGCTTGCTATACATATGTTGTGATACTACGCATAACGTCCTCCACCCCGGAACGTTTCCGCCATCACGGTTTCGGGGTGTGACACCTATCGGGTTAAGATGGTTGTATAAAATTAAAAGAAATACGAGTGGATTACCTTACAAGGTACAAAGCGTGTCTAGTGGCTAAAGACTATGTATAAGAGCAAGGTATTGATTTTGATGAAGTATCCGTGTTGGTAGCTCGATTCAAGACAATAAGACTATTGATTGCTCTCGCAGAAGGGAATGGATGGAAGATACATCACTTGGACGTAAAAATGGAATTCTTATATGGTGACTTAAAATAAGAAGTGTACGTTATCCAACTGGAAGGTTTCGTTAAGCAAGGTGAAGAAACGAAAGTCTACAAATTAGCAAAAGTTTTATACGGTCTTCGACAATATCCAAGAGCTTGGAATTTGGAGCTCAATAATATGTTGAAAAATATGGGTTTTCAACGATGCATGCAAGAAAAATCGGTTTATGGAAAAGTTTCAAATGGAGAATATATAATTGTTGCGGTTTATGTAGATGATTTATTCGTGACGGGAACAAGTCTAGAGTTCATAAACCAATTCAAGAAATTAATGGCATTGCAATTTGAGATGTCAGACCTTGGTGAACTAACTTGCTACTTGGGTATTGAAGTATTGCAAGAAAACGGTTATGTAAAGGTAAAGAAAGAGAATTATGCCATGAAAATTCTGAAAGAAGCTGGTATGGAAGACTGTAATTCAACTCAATTTCCTATGGAGCCAGGACTAAAATTATCTAAAGCTGGAGATGAGCCTGAAGTTGAAGCTAACCATTATCGAAAACTAGTGGGTTGCTTACAATATCTCTTACACATTCGTCTCGATGTAGCATATTCGGTTGGAGTAGTTAGCAGTTATATGCAAAGTCCAAGAGAATCTCATGCACGTGTTATTAAGCAAATTCTTTGTTACTTGTGTGGTACAACATCTTTTAGGATAATACATAAACGAAGTAAAAATATGAGCTTGTTAGGTTACAGTGATAGCAGTCACAATGTTGATGTTGACGATGGAAGAAGTACAACAGGACATGTTTTCTACCTTGGTGACTCACTTATCAGTTGCTGCTCCTAGAAGCAATATACAATAGCTTTTCTCCTCAAGTGAAACTGAGTTCATGGCAACTACTGCAACTGCGTGTCAGGCAGTTTGGTTAAGGGAGTTGTTAGCTGAGTTGAAAGGAATGAAGAAACAGAAGGTGCTGATTTGCATAGACTACAAATCAGCAATTGCACTGTCAAAGAATCATGTCTTTCATGGAAGAAGCAAACACATCCACACTCGATTCCACTTCATTCGAGAGCGTGTTGAAAACGAGCAAGTAACAGTTGGACATATTTCAGGAGACAAGCAACGAGCAGATCCACTTACGAAGGCCTTAGCTTGGATAAGGTTCATATAGATGAGATTGTTACTTGGTGTGCAAGAATTACCCTCGACTCAAACATTCAGGGGGTGATTGTTGGCGAACTGTCGTCGGTGTGGCTGGAAGGTGTGTCTTGGTCCAGAAGTTGATGGTTTGGAGTGGTGTCCAAGTAACTTGGAATGTTGTCCAAGTTATTCTAGATTCCTAGTATTTCCTTGAGCAATAAGGAATGCAGTAAAAAGGAAAGTTTTAGGTGTTTACAAGTTTGTTACCTAGTTATATGCTAATGTGTCTAGATTGGTGTGTGTGTGTGTGTGTGTGTGTGTGTGTGTGTGTGTGTGTG